TCTGAACACGCAATTTGTTAATGAGTTTCCAGATATAGTTAAAACCGAAATATGATTTTTTACTATGTCATATCTACATTATATCTTATCTCTTTTGGAAGTTAACATATTCTATTGAATTTCTACTCAGGAATATAAAGGGGAAAAAAGGAAAATACTTATCTTTGTAAAGTACAATCGTTTTAGTTAAAATGATTATTTTTATTTAATATTTAAATTAAAAAATATCACTTTCTCTTATTACAATTTATATTGTGTAAGTATTTCTGTAACCATACAACAATGTAGTTTTGATTAAAATAACATAATTTTATATCTTTTAAAAGAATAAATACTAATCGATCCAAAAAAAAAAACTGATAAGTGTCCAAGACACTATGTTTTTATGGTTAAAAAGAGTTCAAATAATTATTAAAATAATTAAAAATATAGTGTTAAAACAACAAAACAGTAAAACAAAGTGAATTGTCAACAAATGGATAAGATTCTAAATATTTGTTGTTTCAGGTTGTTTGGACTAGAATAACAAAGTACCAATATGATAAGACGAGACAACAGTGGAATCCGCGGAGCAATGGGAAAACCAGAAATTAAATAATAAATAAAATAAAAAATTGTAACGCTAGCTCCACTGCTCGCTAAAGCGAGCAAGTGGGCGAGCAGCTAACAAAGTTACTAGCTAGAGCGAGCAAATGGGTGAGCAACTCGCTAAGGTCTTGGCACAAGCGACCGATGGAGCGACCAGCAAAAAGTGCTCGCTGAGCAGCTCGCTTCAACGAGCTCCTCAGCGAGCGGATCCAGGAAATTAAAGCCCATATTTTCTCTTTAAATGCAACGCGAAGGAAGCCCTGATGATCATATTCTGGAACGCGAAGAAAGACGAAGTCAGAGACAAAGACAAAGGCAGGAGTGAAGAGGAATGATGGAGCGTTGCAGAGGAGAAGGAATGAATCCAATCTGCATCATTGATCGTCTTCCTTAATCAAGTTTATCATGAACTTTATTTATTTTACAGTTTATTTCAATTCTGCATTTATAATTATGTCTAGCTAATTTACTTTATGTAGTTAGGGCGAGAACCAATGGGTTCTTAAACGCTATTTGCCTTTCTTATAATTTATATTCATGATTTAAAGTTATGCAATCAATCTGTTATTTATGCTTAGTTTTATTTATGACTTGATCACTCGTAAATAAACATATGAGTCGTGCATGACAATAGGGATGTTGGTGTATGATTCTGATTGGTTGATTGCTGGAATTTGTATGATCTAGGGATAGACTTATGAATTCTATAACCGTACGTTCTTGCGTTAATGCTTACTTTATGAAAAAGTACTAAGGGATTAGGCTTTTGAGTGGAGTAAAGGATTGGATTACCAAGGGATTGAGATTTAATCGAATATAGAAAGAACTGTTAATAACTGAATCTTGAATGGGATTATAAGAATAGGTAAACTAGTTTGGAAACCATTGGGGAAGTTAAATCCTAGCTACGCCTTTTTATTAAAATCTTAAAACCAATTTTTAGCTTTAATTAATTCTGAATTAAATTTCTAAAATATTAAAAACCAAAAATAAGTTTATAAATTCTGCTTTTAATATAATCAGAATATCCTCAAGAAAACCTTGAATGATCGATCCAACTTTGATTAAATAAATAAATTATTGCTTGGTCATCAGTCCTCGTGGGATCGATAACTCTACTTTATTACTTATACGACTGGTGCACTTGCCGAGTTCGTCAACAAAAACCCATGCATATTCTCAATATACATGCATATTTGTATTTTTCTGCCAGCCAGCCACATAGATATATATACATACATTGTATACGAAGCATTTCCTTCAGAAAGCCACTAGAATTGGTTTAATAATAAGGTGTTTGGATATGTTATATTAAGTTATGTGTTGAATTATTTTGTATAAAAAAACAAAACAAAAGTATTCGCTTTAGAATTTAGATAAAACTTTACGAAAGTAATTTCGTTTCGCAAATGGAATTTTATAGATGTCAGAGTATCGAATTACAATTAAAATACCCCAATAACACATGTCAATTAAGCAGAAAAAGAAAGAGAAGAAAAGAAAAACAAGTAGTACATAATTTATTTTATTATATATTAACGTAAATGGTTGGAACTGGTCCACGCTAACCTAACAGCGACCGAGCAACTAGCAGCTACTTGTCAATGTTTAAGTTTGGACACACATAATAACATGTATGTCATATACACAGTTATGCACATTCAGCCATCAACGTTTGAAGTGGTCCAATTTTCATTGTAATTGAACAAAAAACACAACTGCAGCTTATTCAATGTACATTCTCAAATGGGTATAGAAGGTGTAGATAATGAACAATTTTCTACGCAACCCGAGTTACGTGAACCGTATATTATATAGATTATATTATATTTGTCATCCTTTATGTTACGATTAATTGGAGACTCGTATATATACTGATGTTTGAATTTCATTTAGGTTATGAAATTTGGATAAGAGTAGGAGAGACAACAAACACTGACCAACGTGGCCCATCTACAGTTGAGGGCGATGTAGATCTTAATCGTGTACGTGTGGGGGCAAAGAAACAAGGTCTAACAACATGTAGAACGTTCAAGTTCAACATCCGTTTTTTTAAATAATATTTTTTATAATATGGTTCTATACGGATAGATGCTGATTTTATTTATTTACTCGTGCAATCACATAGGAAAGGAAGGGATTAAACCCTAGACCAGGCTTTAATTAGTATTATGTAAAATAACTTATTTGACCTAAAAGTTTGAGTTATTAGATGAAGGTACATTAATGAATCTTGAATATTATTTTTAATTTTAGTAGGTTAATTACGATCATAATACTCCTTAAATAAATAAAAGGTAAATACACCATTACTTACTTTGTATAAAAATTCAATTTAGAGAAGTTTGTCCAATGTGATTTTTTTTTAATACAAGCTACTCAAATTCCTCACCACTAGACTGATTTTAATGGTTTCCGATGTGAAATGTTTGCTTTTGAGTTTTTCCAATTTGATTTCTAAAGTTTTCATGTGGACTTGAGTAGGTTCATCTAATCTCTTATTTACTGTCTGAATCTAAAATTTTATTTAAATCTCTAATTATCTCATATATAGCGCCCGAATCATGCTAACAAATCTATTTTCTGACTATATAATACGATACAGAATTTGATATTAAATATGTACCAAAGAAATTGATATTGAATAAATGGAAATTTTATATTAACATCATTGACTCAGCCCAGCAAACTCCAGAAACTTCAAGATCGATAAGGTGAAAAAAAATCTTCAACTGTTAAATTGGGAGATTAATTTTTAAATTGGTTATAACAACCCTACCTCGTGATCCTACAAGATCCTACCATTTTTCACAAACTGCATCACGTTTCCACCCTAATGAAACCGATTACAATTATGATTTTGACAACCAAACATGGTTATCTCAATCGCACAAGGAATGAAATCAAACATGCCAAAAAAAAAAACAAAAAAAAAAAAACAAGGAAAACATGGCAGTATAGAAGAAGGTTTGTGTTCAAATCAACCTCCGATTGGGCACGTTCATTCAATTTTGTCCTTTTCGCAATGACGCGGCTCAGCATCACTATAGTTGTTACCCCGCTAATTCAAATTATCCAATTATTGCATCCTTAACAAAATTAGATAGAAGCCCTCCACTCTGCCTCAATTTTTTTATTTTTTTATTTAAACCAAATCCAAAACAATTGGCAAGACGCCGCGTATTGATAGTTTTATTCATATCCTGAAATAAATAAAAAATTCGAAATCCATGTGCTTTATTCTTACTAATTACTATAATGAAGTTATCGCGATAATAGTTAGTACTTTTAATTTGTTTTATTATTGTCTCTTGATAAGTTATTAAAATTATAAGATTTACTCCTTTAAGTCTTTTTTTCGTCTTCTTCATAATGTATATATTTTGTTTTACATGAACCTTCTGACACGTGGTAATTAATTGCACCTAGTTTCTTTAATTCTTAGATAATTTTCTATAACACATAACAGAGTAAAATAAGTAGGTATATATAATTTTCTAGGGATTATCATGAATAATTAGGAGAAAACTAAATGTTAATTAATAATGATTTTATAAAGAATCAACTCAAGATCTTAATTTATTAGGTAAAAGTTATATATTAATAATTTTATATTTTTTCAACACGTTCTCTCATACCATAGTCATTGTACATACCCGTTTATCTGTTTTAAGAAATTTCACAATATGTAATTATGAAAAAAGTATTTATGCTTTTGTTATAGAAATTTTTTTCTGTCACACTCACATAAAAGTGAGTAAGTTCAATTATATCCCATTAACTTATGTGATCACTTTTATATGAGTGTAACAATTTTTTTTTTCTGCAGTGAAAACAGAAATATTAAATCCTTTAATTATTTATTAATAATTGAATTGAAGGTATTAAAGAGTACTGACCACTTAATCACTTACATGAAAATTATTTGAACTTTTTAAGTTCAAACATTAAGTTATATTTTTATAACAGATTAAACATTTATAGCAAGCATTGAGATCATAATCCTGAATTATCGTAATTAAGAAATGAACGTTAGGACAAAGCGACAAGCAAGCCCCACCACAGGTCTAATGAGATAAGCTAAAAGAATGAGCTTGCAACGTTGGTTGTGTATCACAATCGATCCATCACCGCTGTTTACAAAAGATTAGGATGGTTTGGTATAGTGAGTTGGATGAAATTATTGCAATCAACTGACGTGGATCCATGCTGTATGATCCAAGTTTCACCTCCAGAAAACTACATCAATACCCTTATCTATCACAATCATCTAATAGGGCCCTTCCACTTATGCTAGCTAGCTTCCAGAATTCACCCTTCACATGTGCGCGGCGATTAGAGATTGACCCACCACTCTGTTTTCGTATAAAAACCCTTTCATTCCCCATTCACATTACATTATCCACACCATTAGATAGAGTTAAACAACAAAGACCACGTTGTTCTTAACTCAATGGGTGCAACCTATATGGCTCGAGGAGGAGGAGGAGGAGGAGTTACAAGATTCTTGCCTGGTTTCCGAAGAGATATTGGGTGCGAAAGGCTTAACTTTGCATCCTATGCTGAGCAACCTGACACGAGTTATGGTGATGTAGAGTTTGAGTTTCTTGGTGATGGTGAGATGTCATTAGCTAAAAGCGAAAGTAGCAATGAGTTTAACTTAAATGAAATGGAGTTAGAAGAAGATGATGGTGAGAGCGTTAAGAATAGTAGCATTAATGATAATAGAAGCTTTTGGGACAACCAACACCAGGTTTTGCAGGTAATTTAATTTGATTCTTTCTTTGTTTTGTTCACTAGAATCTTAAAAGCAATTGAGTTGCAACTTATTCATTCTCATCTCATATATGTTTCAATGAAATTCCAACTTGAGATCTGTAAAATTAAAATACTCAACATATAAGAAGTATGGACACGGAACTCTACCAGACATTAAAATTTAAAATATCTTATTATTAGAATTTAAACTATTAATTTGACATTTGACAACATCCTTTTTTATTTTATTTTATTTGAAAAGAAAAGGATGAGATTTATATAAGAACATATGTTTGATTACAAATGAATTTATTAAGGAAAAATGAGAAAAGAAAATTGTACAACACAATGTTTTTATTGAAAAAATATACAATGCTACGGAAGTACCTACGATGGACCAATAGGAGTAGGACAACTAGATTAAAAAAAATATTAAAAAAAGAAAAAAAAATTATAATATTATATTATAATTATATACTTTTCTAAATACACAATATACTTGATGCGACCTTGGTAATAAAAATGCTATAGTCTTTGTTTTCTTCCTTGATTAGCAAGCTAGGATAGCTTTGATTTTATCATTTCTCTTTTGTCCGAAAAGCTTAGCTGGCTTTTGAGCTTTTTTAAATGTGTTTGTTTTAACCAAATTGGTTTTTTATTTAGTGCAGACCAACCTATGCAGAACTAGTTCTGCGGAGTTAAGGATAAGGAATGCCACCAAAGAAGCGGTTCAAGACATACAAAGCGCAGAAGAAACCGTGTGCAGTTGCAGTGTTAGACAGGTGTCTTGTCGAAACTGCGCGATGAGAGAAGTCTCTAGGCGACTTCAGAAGGCTGGTTATAACAGCGCCATTTGCAAAACAAAATGGAGAAGCTCCCCAAGTGTTCCATCAGGTAAATATGGAATAGATCAACATAGTTCAATGAAAGAAACAATATTATGCATATATATATATATATTTTTTCTTGACATTTTTGAAACTTTTCCTATGTGTTTTCTTTCTTTAAAAAAAGTGACCTTCTTGGTGGATATAAGATAAGATAGAAATTGTTGTTACAACGTTATTTCATCTATTTTTTAACCTAAAAAGTCCCTTTCAAATCATTAGGCTATTTTAACTTTCTCTTATCGCTAATTTAATAACAAATAATTAGGATCATTAGCTATATTAATTAATAATTATTAGGCCCTAGTTAGCATCACTTAAATTTTAAGTTGAAAAAACAAAATATAATAAAATAAATTAAAAGTGTGTTCTATCCTGAATTTTCAAGAGCAACTTTTTCTCTGTATTAAAAATTTTAGGGTACTAGGGACAAACAATTTTAAAAATCATTCTCTCACTACGTAATAGCTTCAAATTTCTACATAAGCACACATAACGATTAAAAAATTAATATCAAAAGCTAACTATTATATATATATATATGGTAACTGTGCAGGGGAGCATGCTTTTCTGGATGTGATAGAAAGTACAAGCAAAAAAGAAGGAGATGTTAGGGTGATCATAGAACTGAACTTCCGAGCAGAGTTTGAGATGGCAAGGGCAAGCGAGGACTATAACAAGCTTGTCCGAAGGTTACCAGAGATATTTGTGGGAAAAGTAGAGAGATTAAGCAACCTAATCAAGATCTTGTGCATGGCAACCAAAAGGTGCACGAAGGAAAACAAAATGCACATGGGGCCATGGAGGAAGCATAAGTACATGCAAGCTAAGTGGCTAGGTCCATGCAAAAGGAATACTTCAACAACTTCCCTTTCAATGGGATATTCTAAGGAGATGCCAAAGCCGAAGCCAAAGGCATCTCTGTTAACAGTAGATCTGCTTGAGAAGCTTCCCAATATGCACTCTACGGCTGTTAAAGTTGTGTAGTTTTAAATAATACAGAGAAACTCACGAAATTATGGTAACTTAGTTGATGTTAAGGAATTGAGCAAGTGCGGATGAAAATATGTGTTCGATCCTCCTTAATATTATTTTTGAGAGGAATTCAAAGCTTTAAACTCGAGATCTATCTCAAATCTCGCAAAACGATCAACTAATTGGAATATCTCCAAAAAATAAAAAATAGAGAAACCCAATTTTTCTTTTATATCTTTCTTCTTATTTTAAACTCAATCTTTCCTACCTGACAAAGTTGCTCCAAATATCATTACGCAAGTAAGTAAAAGTAGTTTGTGGCAATTCGACGGCAGCTTAGTTGGCAATTGATCCAAGTTTTGTTTTGATTAGGGGTTTAAATCTTGGTAAAAACAAATTTTTGAAATTTTTTGGAGCTAAAAGAAAATTACCTTACTCTCAGGGACTTTAATCTTACTCTTCCTCCGATGATAATAGTAATACATATTCTGTTTCAATGAAAAACTAGTCTTAAAGATCGTATTCCTAGAAGGATACTGAAAAAAAATGTGTGAGGTACCTCCATTATCTAAAAAGAAAAAAACAAAAGTTCGTGGCAATAATTGGCCACTTCAAAGCTGCTCTGAATTTTCGAGATCCATTTGGCATATGCCTATTTTTGTTTATTGATATGTTGCTTTACGTACGTATATACTCGACTTGGGTGACACAATTAAAGGGTTAAAATCCTACTGTGTTAATCACGGCAAGAAATATTGATATGTCTACCTAACATCTTTTGTTTTGTTTTTTTGTTTTCCTTGGCCGGCTTGTTAAATTTAATCTAATGAGCTTATGTTGTGATTATCCATTGATAAAATAATCTAAAATTAGACCCATAAAAAATGAGGTTCAATAATTAAAAGAGAGAGCGATGAGTGAGAGAGAGAAAGGTGATCATGGGAAGAATCCTGGCAAATCAAGTGAAGAACTTGACATTCTTCAAAGAATTAATAAGACGAATAAAGGTGAGGGAGATCAGTTTTCAAATGATGTATCTATGATACCTAGACATGAAGGTTGGATTGAAGATGAGAATGGCCAACGTTCAACCTGGAGGGAAATTCTGATGCGTCATAATGGAGAAGATGATGAATGGGAAGGAGAGGCGTCTGCTGAGGAAGACTTAGATGGGGAGGAACCTGCTGAGGAAGAGGATGTCAACCATGGAGGAATTAAGATGTGGGAGGAAGATGATGGGCGTACTTATTTTAGTTGCACCAAAAGAGCAAGGAAGAGAATGAGGAAACCTTGGGAGAAAGCTCTGATTGTTAAACTCCTTGGGAAGAAAATTGGAGTGGAGTTTATGAAGAAAAAAAATAAATGTCTTATGGGCTAGAAAAGGCAAAATCAATGTCACTGATATTGGTAATGACTTTTTCGTAGTCCAGTTTAGTGAGAAGGATGATCTCAATTTTGCTTTGAACGGTGGTCCATGGATTGTTTTGGGTCATTATTTATCGTTGAGGAAGTGGGAACCAACTTTCAGACCTAATAGTGCTGGAATTGCTAAGATTGCTGCTTGGATTCGGCTACCAGATATTCCCATTGAATTCTATGATGAAGCTTTTTTTAGAAGGATTGGAAACTGGTTAGGCAAGATGATCAAGGTAGACAGCAATACAAATGCTCATGTAAGAGGACGGTTTGCAAGAATATGTGTGGAACTGGACCTATCTCAGCCATTAAAGGGTGATTATGTGCTGGAAGGATTTACCAAACAAATTGAGTATGAAGGATTAGGGCTCATTTGTTTTGGTTGTGGGAAATATGGACATAGCACCGAGAATTGTTCAGCTGCTCCAAAGCAACGCAGTTCATCCGATATTCATAATGACGATCAAATTCATCAAGAGGAACCTGGCAACTCAGAATTCCATCGAAGCAAAGGACTGGGACCTTGGATGGTTGTTAATCGTCAACGCAGGAGCCCACATCCTCCTCAAACGGCCGGTGCAGTCCAGCCAGGCGCTGGTTCAAAAACGTTACAAAGGAATAATGATAAGGGAGTTATGACCAACGATAATCATGGTGATAAGAGAGTTATGACCAGCGATAATCATGGTAATCATGGTAATAAGGGAGTTATGACCAGCGATAATCATGGAGATAATCATGGTGATAAGAGAGTTATGACCAGCGATAATCATGGTAATAAGGGAGTTATGACCAGCGATAATCATGGAGATAATCATGGTGATAAGGAGGAAATTACGCAATCACGGTTTGCAATCTTAACAGCTGGACCTATTAATGAGGAGGATCATAATCAAATAATTAATTATGTTACTCCTCATATGGGGGCCCCTCAGTTTGAAATTCCTCAGAAAATATGGACTAAATCCAAAAAGTCCAAAGATACCCCTAGGACTAAATTAACGGTTCCTACTATGCATGCGGCTCCTTCTTCAAGCACGGGTAAGAGGTGTCCAGTCCAGAGTGAAAATCGTGAAGATCATACTCCTGTTCCACCATCTCCATCAATTGCTACTCCCATGGCGGTTAGTCCTATGCAAGCAAATCAACATGATCAGGAAAATAGGATGAAAGCAGATAGCACTTTGAACCAGAATCAAGAGCAGTTATATGGCACATTTCATAAAATTGGTCCTGATATATCAGTTGACAACAGCAGCGACATCCAAAATCCTGAAACCTCAACCATCTCTACGTGCATGGAGGTGGACAGAGTTCACCAGAAAGATATTTTAAGAATGAAGGATGCAAGAGCCTTGGAGTCTTGCGTTCAACATAGTTTTTAATGAATTTATTCTTCTGGAACTGTAGGGGAGCAGTGAAACCCCAGTTTCAAAAATCGCTTTTTCTGTTTACTAGGAAATATAAGCCTAGTATTGTAGTGATTCTAGAACCTCGGTGTAGTGGTCAAAAAGCTTCTGACATTATCCAAAAATCTGGGTTTAAGCATGCTTTTGTTCAAGAGGCAGAAGGTTACTCAGGGGGTATTTGGATCCTCTGGAATGATGAGACTGGTCTCGTTGAAATTGTTAATCACACAAAACAGTTTGTTCATTTTAAAGTTCAGAATTTTCATGTTCCTTCCTTTTCTTGCACGGCAGTTTATGCGAGTCCTAGGGAAGAAAATAGAAAGGAGCTATGGGATGATCTGCTAAACATTAGTCTCCATTGCAATGGGCCGTGGTTGGTGGCTGGGGATTTTAATGAAATAGCAAATCGGGATGAGAAGAAAGGCGGCTGTAGAGTTAACTTAAACAGATGTTCCAATTTTGCAAATGTTCTTCATAATTGCAAGCTGCTGGATCTTGGAGGATCAGGTCCTTGGTTTACATGGAAGGGTCCGAAGTTTCTTCATCTTAATCGTGTTTTTAAGAGGCTGGACCGAGCCTGTGCTAATACAAGTTGGAAGACTACCTTTACTGATGCTGGCGTTAAGGTACTTCCACGGATTTATTCTGATCATAGTCCCATTTTGGTCTACTTGACTAACTTGGACACAGGTTGGAAAAATCGTCCCTTTCGCTTTGAGATTGCTTGGATGGAGCATTATAACTTTACTCAGTTTCTGGCTAGGAGCTGGAATGTTGTGAAAGACACTAGAACGAATCTGCATGATCTGACTCCAAATTTAAAAAGATGGAACAAGGTAGTCTTTGGCAACATTTTCAACAGGAAGACTAACCTATTGCATAGTATTGCAGAAATTCAGAATCATGTTGATTATCATACCAACTCATCTCTCCAATCTAGAGAAAAGGAGGTTAGGAAGGACCTTGATGCGGTTCTCATACAAGAAGAGATCTTATGGTTTCAAAAAGCCAGGGTGAAATGGATAAATGACGGGGATAGAAACACCAAATTCTATCACATTAAAACAGCTACTCGAAGAAGTTCGAATAGGATTCTTGAGTTAAAAAATTCTGATGGGATTTGGGTGAAGGAAGCTAGACAACTTCATCAATTGGTAACAGATTTCTATAGCAACTTGTTTAGTGAGGAAGTCCTTAATCGTGATTGGGTGAAAACAAAGACTACTTGGCCCCTTCTGCACGATGATCTGCTATCTAATCTGACTCGTAATCTTTCGGATGACGAAATTTCAAAAGCTGTTTTTAGTATCAATGGGTTAAAAGCTCCAGGGGAAGATGGTTTTCCAGCTGCCTTTTTTCATAAGAATTGGAGTCTTATTAAGACTAATGTTATTAAGGATGTTAACATGATGTTTCAGAATCCCAATCTGATTCACCTTGTGAACTCGACTCTTCTGGTCCTCATTCCAAAAGTAAAGAGACCTGAAAGTGCTAAGCAGCTCAGACCAATCTCTTTGTGCAATATCATTTATAAAATCCTTAGTAAAATTTTGGTTAACAGAATGAAGCCCCTAATGGAAGAGATGGTGTCTCCCTTCCAAGCTAGTTTTGTTCCTAAACGACATATCCAGGACAACATCATCATCACCCAAGAGCTGATCCATTCAATGCGTAGAATGAGAGGAAGAAAATGTTTCATGGCAATTAAAATCGACTTGGAAAAGGCTTATGATATGTTAAATTGGGAGTTTGTTCGTAAAGTTTTGGATGAAATTCAAATCCCATACTGGTTCACAAATATTATCATGAATTGTATCAACTCTGATAAGGTCTCAGTGCTTTGGAATGGAGCCATTGCAGGTGACTTCCTTCCTGCAAGAGGAGTTCGTCAGGGTGATCCTTTATCTCCTACATTTTTGTTCTAGCCATGGAAAAATTGTCTCATCTCATTCAAGATGCGGTTGACAATAAGAGATGGAAGCCAATCTCCGTGGGATCAAAAGGTCCTAAGATAGCCCATCTGATGTTTGCTGATGATTTGATGCTGTTTGCAGAAGCTTCTCTAGATCAAATCACAGTTATAGTGGATTGCTTGGAGACTTTTAGTTCAATGTCTGGCCTAAAGATTAGTATTCCGAAATCTAGTATTTTTTTCTCAAAAAATACAGATGCTCACATTGCAGATGATATCACAAATGTGTGTGGCTTCAAGCAAACTCACAATATAGGGAGATATCTTGGGTCCATGATGAAACATGGTCGAGTAACCAAAGACCATTATGCTGATGTTGTTGCAAGAATTAGGCACAAGTTGTCTGGTTGGAGTAACCAGGTCTTATCTTTTGCCGGTCGAATTACACTTTCCAACTCCGTTATTTCAGCAACTCC